TTGTATCTTTGTATTTTCTTCTTTCCTTTCTTGAAGTTCTTTGTGACTCTTGGAAGATAAGTGTGTTTGTYTTCCACTTGTAAATTTTCTACTGATGAATTAATGAAAGTGTTATTGATTAAAAAAAAAAATATATGGCTTATTTAGTAACCTCAGAAACTACATCCACATTCTTTCAGCATTAGTCCCAATCATCTTTTAGAAGGAAAATAATAAAAGTTGTGGTGGCTTTGTCCAGTTTGGTGGTAGATGGAGACTTCACAAGAAATAAGTTCTTAAGCCCTTTTCCAAGGACAAGGACTTAATGTGTCTTTGGAACTTGAGGAATGCAGTCTTTAAAAAGCACAAGGGGTTTTTTGCACCTGAGGAAAAGACACAATGGAAGGTATGCACCTTTTTTTGAAGCAAGGCACAAAATTTTTAACATCTCAAAAAAAGTGTGTGAAAATGCAAAATAAAATAAAATAAAATAAAAAATAATATTAATTAAAAATGCATACTAAAATTTTAAACTAAATGTTTTAAAAACCTATAATCTCAAGTTAAAATACATACACATAACAAATAAAATATATGTAAAATGAAAAATGTAAAAATAAAATTAAACATAACATATAAAACATATTCAAGCACTCAACAATTCAAGTGTGTGAAACTTTCAATCTCTTTATTTCTTTCCCAATCACATTATTCTGATTCTATGAGCTACTTTGTAGCGAACTCCTTGAGGCAAGCCCAAATAAGTCCATGCTAGGTTCTTAATTAATCCATACTTAAAAATTGGTATTGTAATTTGGTTTTAGTTTCTTATCTTTTACAAAAATGTCCCATATTAGGAAGAATGAATGAACAATATTAGTAAAAAAGGGATTCTTGGAACACCAATGAATTAAAGGGGTTGTGCTTGGGCCTAGGCGAAACACATGCCCTGAAACTAAAACTTTCTTATTTTCTAAATAAGGAACTACAACTAAATTCTAAAACCAATTTTTTAAGTTTTAAAAAAATGTCTCATATTAGGAAGAATGAATGAACAATATTAGTAAAAAAGGGATTCTTGGAACACCAATAAATTAAAGGGGTTGTGCTTGGGCCTAGGCGAAGCACATGCCCTGAAACTAAAACTTTCTTATTTTCTAAATAAGGAACTAAAACTAAATTATAAAACCAATTTTTTAAGTACAGTTTAAGAATTCAAGAACCTAGCACGGACTTATTTGGGCTTGCCTCAAGGGGCTTGGTCAGGGGTTCATGGGAGCCGGGGAGGAGCCCCTGGCTCAGTCACGATGCTTAAAAAAGTACAAAAAAAGCCCCAAATCTAACAAAAGTGCACACATGGGTTGAGGCACAAGGTGCATCGGGCACATGCCTTTTTAAAGGGGCTGCGCCTGGGCATAGGTGAGGCACAGGCCTCAAAATGCACCTTACCTGTGCACCTAGGCTCACCTGAGGTGTGCCTTTGCAATCACTGGGGGGTGGTGGTGGAAGGGAACATTTTGATGGTCATCAGATGGATGAGAGATAACTCTAATGTCTAATGGGCTTTGGAGATCTACACCTTTTATCAAAGGCTGAACCATTAGACTCCAAGACAAACATCTTCCCCACAATCCTTCTATTAGCTAACTAGATTACAAATGAACTTCCTATAAATAATATGTGGAAGAGAGAGTTGTATTGGGGCACTAAGATGACTGAATGGGAGAGTACTCTCTACCTTTTGTATCTTGGGGAGCTTTTACTGTATCATTGGCCAATTAGTGAGCATGACTGACCTAGCCTTATCTTTGGGTCATAATCCTTGTAAGTGGCTGTATTTTCTTCTCTTGCTCTTTTACTAATAAAATTTTACTGTTACTGATAAACCAAAAAGAAGATTAAAAAAAGCAATTAGAGACAACTCAATAGTTTTCCCTCCCCTAAGTACAAAACCACTCATTAAGTTATGCCCAACATACTCAACCTTAAAAGTTGCTGAAGCATCTGATGCAATGTCAAAATTTGGGAGTTGTATATAATCAAAGAACTTCTTTATCTTCTCTGGCTCCAAGACATACCTGTGCAATAAACCACATAAAAAAAATAAAATGTTTATATAATTTGAATGTATTGAAGAAAAGGATAAAACCAATGCAGAGTAGCTCTGAAGATTAAAGATTACACTCCATCACTAAGGATTGAGACATGCAAGGGCAAGAGAGGTTCTAACGTTTTCAAGGTGTTTACCAAATTCCACCATTCACAGGTAATTGCTACAATTCTATTAGTGATGGCCTAATGGTAAGAATGCTTGTGTTTCACATTAGTGTTCTAGGTTCAAATCACATCACCTACAATTCTATTATAAAAAAGAACCATTAAAAACAAAACTAATATTTATTAGAAACAAATATGCGGAAGAATGCAAGCATATGGGGCCCTATTTCACTCTTCCTTTGTTCCTCTTTTCATGACGAGATTCCACTCTTATCACCTAACAAAAGTTCTTTGCTCTTGTTATCAGCAAATATGACAACATGCCAAAAGCAACAATAGTCCCTTCTCTTCTGATATCTAGTTGTAAATTAATAGCAATCAGGATGAAACAAGTTCTGCTGCAGAGCTTCTAAAGCAAAGATGATTTGGGATTTGGGAACAATGGTTTTGTTGTTGGAATGGAATATTTTCTCAAGATGATTCCCACCTAAAAGGTTTTGATCTAATTATTAATAAATTCAATCACAAATTCAGCCATGGGCAGTATATTATTGAGCTATACTGATCCTATTGGGGATGAAACTCAAGGAAGAACTACCATTAGTGCTTCAAGGGCTAAAGTTGGCACATTTCATGGAACTACCAAGCTGTGATTGGTTGGCTGTTAGCTGGATTGGATGCTCTATATTTTATCAGGTATCAGATTAGAGAAGCAAATCATTGGTGCTTAGTTTGAATTGCTTGTTCAGATGGGTGCCCAAATCAGAAAATAATCTTGCTGATGCTCTTGCTAGAGGTAAAGTTGAGAGAGGGCCTTGTACGTTCAGCCCTAGGCACTAGGGTACAGAAGCAAGGTTGCTTCCTTTTATGGTTCTATTCATATGTTTTGATCATATTATTAGCCATGTATATTTGGTCCCCTTCACTTTAGTTCAGTGAGTGGGTGCTCCTTATTTTATTTCTCATAAATAAAATTTCCTTGATTGTGGGCTATTGATAAAAAATTTATTAATTCAGCCATCTTAGACTGAGCACTTATCTATGACCACCCTATGATATGTCAGGTTATGAACTTAATAGCACAGAAACAAATGCTAAACAATATCAGGCATATAAGATGCACAGAAATGTACTCACATATGTTGCTTAATATTTCCTGTACACTTGCAAGAGGTCGAGGGAAAACCATTAGAAAATTAATGAATACAGATACATATACAAGTACACTTTAGACCAGTTTTTTATTGAGGTATTAATCAATATGGCTCTGCCAGTGCTAGATTGTTGGTCACAAATCTAAATAAAGGAGGATTGTGTCAGGTTGGCAACCAACTTGAAGAAAAACCGTCACATGGTAACAGAGAACAATGGGTAAATTATAAGCTAGGAGCAAGAAGCTAATGGAAAATTAATACAGGTTACTAATAAAATTAGATTTTTTTTCAGGAAGTTCAAAAGCTGATCCAGTTTGTATCCAAATATTGAGTGGATGGATATTTTTGTAATTATCAACTGTGGGAACCAGGTCATCGAGAAATCAAGTTGAATTTAAATGACTTAAAAGCAGGTGAATAGGTGAATAAATTAAACTTCTACATACTATACTAGAATTCTAGGTCATTTGTATGATGGCTTTAGAGTAGTCAATAGTTGATGCATTAATGACAGCTAGGCATCATAGTTTTTTGTTCTGGGAACTGAAAATCTGTCAATAATTTTTTTCTAATTATATATTACAGTCAACTTTCCTGCCCCCTTGTTAGTTATGTCTAAGAGGAAAAAGTGTCAACAGAGTATCCTCAAGGAAGTAAAGCATAACTTGAAGTTCTTATCATCTCTTACTTCTTTGATAGACATTTAAACAAACCTTTTATGAATACATCTATTGCTTACTTAATCTCATGTTCACTCACCTTTTCTTGACTATTTGTACAACAGAAAAAGCAAGTGAGCATGTACAACCTAAGTTTGACAAGAGAATAATTCCTTCTTAACAAATTTACAGAGACTTCTAAAGGTAAATATTTCTAGAATCAACCACAAGTTTGTTGTAAAGATACAAAATCAGATCTGCACAAATAGAATATGTAATAATGAAATATCAACCCTAACATAAACTATGCTATGAATAACAAGTAACCAATCAAGAGATAAAAGGAAATGCAACTTCTTATATAAAGCATTTAATCATAGAAGTGATAGAACCATGAAACTTATTGAATCACATAATAGATAATGCATGTTCTTGTTACCTACTTTGCAATGCTCTGATGGCGTATGCACTCTCTCAACATTGTGCCATAATGTAAGGCAATGTCTGAGTCATCATACCTACAAATAATAATGGATGAACATTATAAGATTGATAAATTATAACAAAAAATGGATAAACATATCATAGAAATAAATCCTAAAGACACAACCATCCAAACAGAAGGTACTCTAAAATAAATATCTTTAGAAAATAAGTAAGCATGTGAATAAGCTTGTGAAAATCATTACTCATAAGCATTAAGTTGAAGTCAGCCAATAAAAACTGTTTTTGTCTCTTGCTTCCTTGTTACTAGAATATACGGAGATTCTTAAATTTCATTATTAATAAAACTGGTTTACTATTTCTGATAAAACAGAAGAAAGAAAAAGAAGAAATCATTGTAATCATAAATAACATGAATAAGGATCTTAAGACTCTATCACAAATATGTAGAACATTATGAGAATATTGAGAGTTTTAACCCTTCTTTTATTTACAAACTCAAAGCAAAGAAAAGGAAATGGTATTGCATTATAAAGTTATATATATATATATATATATATCAAAACAAAGTGAACTTTTCTTTCTTTCAAAGATTTTATAACTTCTTATGTTAATAAAGCAAAATACTTGTTTTTAAAAATTCAATGAAAACATCTTTCTGGTTCTTTATTTTTCAAATTAGCAGCCATCTATGTTAAAACAACACATAGTAAAGTAACAATAGCTACATCATATGCAACTTGGTTCTTCTTGACTTCCTAACAAAACTAAACAACAGAAAGTCAAAACAGATTTCAGAAACAATCATGTTTTATTCAAAAGAAATAACTGTATATTTATCCACATAATAACTAAAAAACATGCATACAACATTCAAGAGTGTGTATCTGTGTGTCTATACAAATACAATATCAAGAACCCTTCCAAAAAAATTAGTTCAGTTATTTCCAAATTGCTACAGATAATAGCTCACCCTGATATCAAAAGATCTAGAAGATCTTTGTTTTCTTCCAAGTAGTTAGAAGCAATCAACCGTGACTGAACTTGTTGCCTTTGCAAATTAGCAACCACTTGTGTAGCATCTTTACGAGCCTACAAAGGGTGATCCTCATAAATGGTAAGTACCATACTAAACAGGCTTCAGATCACACAATTCATTTCTCAAATCTCAATCTGGTCCTTAACTCAAGAGTAAAAATTGCTTAAGTAAAACAAAATTAGAAGCAAGAAAATATGAACCAATGGGGCAACTAGCAATATTTCAAGTCTAACATTAATTCATGCTTACCTCTAAGTTCAATTTAGGAAGACAAGTAATTAAAAGGCGTAGTGTGTTCTCTCTGAAGAACTCTTGAGTTAACTGTGCACAAGCTTCTGCAACAGGTTCTGCTTCACTGCTGCCATAAAGAACTGATTTCAACTCTCGTATTGTTTTAGTTAATTCTGCCATCTGGAGAACAGTCAAAAATGTCATAAAGATACAATCTAAAACTTGGATATTAACACACAGTGGCACTTGAGATTGCATTGCATATAACTGGCAACATTTACCATAATTGCAAACCATGAATTTTTGTGAGGAAAATTAATATACATGCTCAAAAAATTAATCTTTTTATCCCCTTTTGTCTCACTCAATTGATTGTTGCGGTAGTAACATGTCACGGTTTTGAAAAGATATTTGATAAAGCATTAGCACAACTATGTTTCTTTCAGCCATCTATTTAAAGGTATGCTTTCCAATGTTTGTCTTCTCCGTGATGCTGACTCTTTTTTTTTCTCAAATTTATGGAATTTCAATTACAGAAAAAATCTAATAAATAAATAAATATATATATATATATATACAGAGAGAGAGAGAGAGAGTTTTAGTTAAACACACAAATAATGTATGGTTATCAAACTCTACATTGATTCTCTTGGAAACATACTGCAAAGTAATAATCTCCATTAGAACAGAAGAAATAAAAATAAAAAAATAAAATATACCATATTAACCAACCAAACACACTGAAAAAAGGATGACTTCCAGCCATTTCTCAAGCATGTACTATCATCAAAGTTCAACTTTTTTCCTTCACATAATAGTTATCATTGATTATTGTACCCTTTAACTAAGAAAGGAGAACACAGAGATCTGATCTTTACCCATTTTCATGACTTCCTTTTTTTAATCTTAGAGACCTACACGCCAACAATTAATTAAAGCTCATGAATTCCACCAATATTCGTGTCAGTGAGTTCAACTTCAGATGAAATCACACCCCATTTTTAACCAACAAAGAGAATAAGGAGGAAATAGAAGGAACCAGACGTAGTGCAAGACAACATTGATCCCATTGCAACGAGGGAAATATGGGTGCAGAATAAAAAAATCAGGGATTTACAATGCAATCAACGGCAAATAAAAGTAACGAAACAACAGAAAGAATAAGAAAGGGAAAAGTAGATAAGGAAGAAAATTGATGATCGAACCTTCTCCTCGTCCCGTTTGCTGATTTGACGAGTATTGTAATTAAGGTCAACATAGATGAGGAGGTCACGCGTCTGTCGGACAAGCTCGACGGGCGTCTTTGGCTTCGACTTGAAAAGACCCTTCATCCTCTTATGCAGGAGTTTCCGGAAGGAGCGCCCCTGCCGGAGGATACTGTTGCTTCTAGGAACCAGAACTGGGATTTCAGTTTGTAGTTAAGAAAGAGACGGATGGATATAATCTTTCCCTCTGTGATGATCTATAGGTAGTATCAAGGCCTTAGACGAGCAGGAAAAAACAATTCACAATAATTTATTCTGCAATTTAAAATTTTTTTGAGAGCAAGAGGAAATTGATCCATCGAAGGAAGTTTAGATCTAACCTCTCTGTTTTTGACAGGTCTTTTATTAATTTCCTATAAACATTCTTTTCTTTTTCTTTTTCTTTATAAAACACATAAAAGAGATTCTGTTTCAACGGATTGTTTTTTTCCTTTCCTTTTTTTTTCTTTTCTATTATTGTTATTACGGATTTAGTTTCCGTTAATTAACATTAATGATTAATCCAGTCACACTCGTATTATTTTGTTTTGTTTTTTTTGTTTTTTTTTTCGCAAAAACGGTTGGTGGTTGGCGATTCTGCATCTTAAGGGAACGGAGTGTATGTACTGTCAACTGTGTACTCATCACCCATTAGATCTTGAGGTAAACCGTCAGATCGGAACTTCTATGATTGGATAGAATCTATTGATCTTATACAGCAACCATGTCACGCTTAGGGATTCAAAGATACCGATCTTCCTTTTAAGACTCGATGATACCAAAAACACTCGATTAAAAGTCAAGACAAAATATTCAGAGAGAGCCTACTTGTTTCCGTATTTTAAGAATCGGACTATAAAAGACCCGTGCGATGCACGGGCTAGTGTTAAAAGATGCCATATTTCTATGGGTATGGGCATGAGAGAGTAATTCGGATCTGCTATCACAAATTGTTAATGTTTTCGATGTACATCAGTAATGTCCGGTGGGTAGGGATGTAAGAACAGTTTGTGGATAGTAGATCTGCTCCAAGCATGGATAGGAATCTGCTACCAATAAATCGCTCCCCATAAGCCACATATTGAGAACATCTCCCTTATCATTGTAATGATATGTTGGGACTATTGGGAGCAGATCTGAATTCATGATTATAAGCCGGGCTGGGGTTTTTAAAGGGTGAACATCTAGGCTGACCAATGTGAATTAATAGTATTTATATTTTAAAAATTTTAATTTTAATTTTAATTCAACTTTTTTTTTGAGAAACAAAATTTTAATTCAACTTTATAATCAAAAGTTATGAAAAAATATATCCAAAAATTATTGTATATATACAATATCTTATACCATATATGGATGTCATATACCACATAGACATACATATTGTCTATATATTTGGTTAAGTATTATACTTAATATATAAGATATTATACTATATTTTATTGTATACAATATCTGTAACGGGCTGCTTATCCTTTATTCTTTTTATGAGAAAGGGTATAAAATCCATTTTATTATATTTGTAATACCAGTTTTAATGGCTATTATAATAGCCATATTTGTGTATAAAGGTTGCGGTACGGCCCGATTCGATTTTGGACCGGCTTGGCATGGCTTGACACGATGGCACGTGGGTCGTGCTAGGCCCGATATGATGGTTCATGCTGTGTTGGGCCAAGGATTTTAGGTCTACGGACTTGGGCCAACACAATTCGTCCAAGCGGGTTGTGCCGCCCGGGACACGATCCATATATACTATTTATATATATTTATGTATATAATATATTATATGAATTATAATTATATAATAATATATATTATATAATATATTAATATAATAAACAATTGTTTTCAATTTTATTATACTAATTTATTTAATTATTTTATATATAAGCAATTGTATACATCAAAATTTATATAAAATTAAAATTTTAAGTTTTTTTTTTATTTTTTAAATAAATATGCAAAGATAACTTTGGCCCGGCTTGGGCCAAGGCTTGGCCTATGGGCCAGTTTGGCCCGTGGCACGGCAAGACACGGGCTTGGGCCATGGGCCATATCGGGCCAACCCCCAAACTATTCACAGGGGAGGGCGGCACGGCCCGTAGGCCAGCACGGCATGGTCCACACTTTGCGTGGACTGCCCCCGGGCCATGCTGTGCCAATCTAGCACGACCCACTTTACACCTCTATTTGTGTATTTAGTCCATCTCTAATTGTAAGGGTTAAAAATTTAACTTCTATTATTACTTTCCACCTCATTTAATCCCATTTCATTAAGTCTTATACTTAAGGTATTAAATCTCATTTTCTCTTATTAAATCCTATATTTAAAGTTATTTTCACTAATAAATGCTACTAATTAGATCTATGTCAATATTTTTAACAATATAAACCCATATATTTTAAACATGACATAAAAAACAAAACTATTCTTTATCCAAGTGGTGGCTAAACAATTCAACCATCCGAATATGATCAACATATGAAGTCATAGTTAGGTAATAAAAATTTTAAAATAGAAATAAATATAAAAATTAAAAAAAAATTAGACACATTTATTATATTTTTATTAATCAAATTAAAAAAAATAAGTATAATAAACAAGAATTATTTTTATTGATAATGAAAATGAAATGCATAATTTAGAACTAACCAAAAATGAAATATAATCTTGGGTTAAATGTGTTAACCTTTAATGTCATAAATAAATAATAAAATATAAAAATACATAAATTTTGCAAGAAAAAACATTCAAGTACATGTATAATATCATGTATTTATCTTATTAAACAAAAAGTAAGTGTGACGTATCAAAATTATTTGTATACACAAATATACAAAAAAATAATAGAAAAATTTGAACACATCTATAATTCTATATTTACACTACTATTAAAACTATGAATAAGATTGTGGAACTTTTTTTTACTAAAATCAAGGTTTTAAAACCAATCCAAAAACGGAACTGCTTTGGCTTCCGATTTTCAGGTTAGCGGTTCAACCGTCTAATTTGAGTGGGTCAAGCCGATAAGATGTAAAATATAATATAACTTTTTATTTTGATCGTTAGATTATAATTAGGTTAAAGTCCACCATATATATACATTATTATGAGAGGGGAGTGAGACTTTGAGAATGAGGTAGCTGGTGAAAGTTGAGAAGTGAGAAAAAAGAAAGAAGAAGAAGAAAAGAGTTGTCAGAGGTGGTTGTCACCATGCTCACCGATTATTGTTGCATAATTGTTTTGCTCTCAGAAGAAAATAAAAAGAAAAAGAATGAGGAGGAGGAGGAGGAACCGTCGCCACTGGCTATCGCCATGTTCATCATTACCGTTGTTACAACATCGTTTACCATCTTCTTACATCTCTCTAGATCTCTCTCAAATTCCAAATAATTTGTTTCATTGTTGAATCTTAAATTTTAATATAAGATCAGTGTTTAATCTCTCATCTCTTGCATTGATTTTTCGATTTCTTCATTGGAGTTGCAATTTTTTTTGTTACAACTTAAAAAAGAATCACAAAAATGAGAAAACTTAAAATAAAAAATGGATAAACTAAAAACACTAACTAATTTTGGCCGAAATAATTGAACAGGATTATGAGATATGAAAGTTTATTTTTTCAATTTTTTTTCTTTTCTAATTTCTATTTTAAAATAAATAAAAATTTTGGAATTAGTTTGAATGCAACCTAAGAACCATTAATCGGGTTGAACATTTAAACCGTTAAACTATCTGGGCTAGCGATTCTCTAATCATTTCAACATTTTTTTTTTTGTAAAATAGCGGTTCAGGGCCAAAACAAAACCGGTGACATGACCAGTTCTCAAGCCAAATGGTTTGACTGTTTGGTTTGGTCTATTTTTTAAAACAATGGCTAAGATACTCATTTTTGAATTTAGTTCCTATTTAATTGTAAGGTTTAATTTGTAAATTGAACTACTACTTTTCACCTCATTCAATTCTCTCTATTTAAAATTTACATTTTTTTTTATAAATGAATAAAAGAAAAAGCGATACACCAAAAAGATAAAACACTACAAAAAGAAAAATCTAGTCAAGTAGGTAGGCCTATCAATGATACTTGAAACTTCACAATTCGATTTGATTATCACATATTTGGATGAGGTATTTGTATAATCCGATTTTGAATTTTGCAATCTGCAACTAATTAATAATAAAAAACAAAAAAGTGAAAACGAAAAAATAAAAAATACATAAAGTTTATAAAAAATTTTGGATACATTATTACTATAATTATCATCATTTAGAATTACTACATAAAAAACTCTTGCATGTATTGATTTCTGAGCCCAATAGCACGCTAAATAATAGGAATTAGGACTTTTGATGTTTTTTCTGTGTATTGCCTCTAGCTCTATGATCCATGTGATGCAATTTTATGTCTTTCCATTCGTTGGGTTGACAAGCAGATGGGAGAATTATTATTATTATTTTTTTGGTAAATAAGTGCTTGGCATTTGATCTCTGATGAAATTGGATTTGATCCTTACACCACTTGCAATCATGCATTGGGAACATCTACATGAATGTCTTAATTCATTGAGAGGTATTCCTAATATATGGCTTCAGGAGGCTTGTGAAAACGAGTTGAAGAGGACCAAATCCTAATCCATCCATGATCCCCACTCTGCCTGGACATTCAGAAGGAAGCAACTCTTTGGACTCTCGGCCTTCATGGGCCTAGCACAATTTGTTGATGGGAAGGGAGGCATTCCCCATCTCCCCTCGTCTCCCATCCTGGCTGATACTCAGATGTGGAGGGTGTTCTGCCACCTGGCTAAAAGCTTATCCCAAATATATTATATATATATATATATATATATATATATATATATATATATATATTATAATGGTGAGGGAAAATTGTATTTTTCAGCTGTACATGAAAATATCTCATGGGGAGATATTCCTAATACATGGCTGCAAGGAGATGTAAGGACAGTTTTATGAGGACCAAATTCAATTTCTTGTGTAGCAATATCATGTTTTAATTTCCTTACATTGTCCATACGCAAAGGAGAACCGAGTTTCAGTCCCTCTTGTCAACTCACCTCCATCGACTATGGATTTCAAGGAGTTGGTCCAGTTGGATATGGGTACCATGTTGTTATTAGATTCAAATGGTTTTTGACAGATATTATGCATTTATTGGAAAATTTGGAGAGCATGAGATGAAATTGAATGGTGTTCCAAGGAGTCCACTCGGATCCAAAGCAAGAGGTGGAAACCTTTTGGCAGGAGTGGAGTCGCTCCACAAGCCTACCCCAGTGGGAGAGAGAATGCAACTCCCAATTACCAATTTCACAGTTGGTTTTTGCTCTAC